CTTAATCTGATATATTCCATCCCTCTAATTGATTCTTCTCCTGGTGAACTTATTCCTTTTACCTAGTAAAGTGGGTAAGTGATCTATCGATGAAGTTCATTTGATAAGAGCTAAAATCCTGACAGATCTTCAAAGATCTTTTTCAAAGATCATGCATTTGACTAGCAAAACCTTGCAGAAATATATTGATAACAATCCCGTAAATAAGCGTACCCATAGCTTATACTGTCATCTTCTTATGGAGTTATCCTTTGAAAGTGAAAGTGTAGCTTCAGTACGAGATTTTCCTAACCTCTAGTTGCTTTATAGTATGTATAGCTCTCTACAGTTGAATAGCATAGTTCGAATGGCGCTAATTCTGTCCCCTGGAATAATGGCTTTAAGCTACACTCATCGCAACTAAGTATAGATGAAATTTGAGGAAGTGGTGCCCCCAATCGGTCATACAGAGGGGGGAAAGGGGCCCTTTTAGCCAGAAACAGCATTACCTAACGACACTCGATAATAATGAAGCATGGAACCGTATGTGCCTATTGCTAATATCATCCTTTGTTTTTTTCAAAAGCATGGTTGCAGACATGAAAAGCGGGCAACATCAGTTGCAGAGTACACAGGAGAACACAGAAAAAAAGAAACACTCCGATAATAACCCGTCATCACCTATTCCTCTTCAAAACGATCCACCAATTCACAGACTGAAAGAGGGACACAATTGTCAGCGTTATTTAAGGTATAGCAAAATCAAGAAATGTATATCAGGTGCAGAGTTCCTGTCATAGAGAATCACATGCAAAAGACAGACAGGAATTCAAAGACAACACCAAGCACTTCAGTTAAAAGTGCCGTAACTAAGCGGAGTAGAAAAAACGTTGAGCAAACGTAGATCACTTCGTGTGGCTTTAGAACATCGGAAATTTTAGCGTACTCTTACTGGTGCTGTTATGCCTAGCGGAATACAAATGAAGCTGTGCTTGTAGGCAGATTAAAAACACCATAAACGACAGATTCAGCTGGGTTCCACGTGATTCTTCCGTCCAAACCAAACTGGTATGCAAATGAGTGTATTTCGCTAGGTTTTATTTCATTTCATGTACCTATCAGCGAGTACCCCTGTTCCGGTGTTAGGTCAAACATAGGGCTTTCCTCGGCAGGGTTCCTTCATGAGTTGTTCAGTATTCTTTTCTCCAAAATGTGTCAGTGGGGTTAAGCAGTACGGCTAAGAACTCAAGGAAACGCAAGCTCGGGAAATGCTGATCACTGATTTGAATGGGGTGGAACAATCAGATATGAAAAACAACGATGGTCATAGCTGTTGTACCACGTTTTACTTCGCGCGGTACCTATCGCTTCTTCGATGTTTCTATACAGATTCCAGACTCGAATTTGGAGGCTGAGACCATTGAGCATTGAGCCGAAATGGGGATCACCCATCAGGTTGCTTAACACTTGATACACGCGACCAGGAGCTTTTATATGCACGCTGATCGCATGCACGATTTTTGTGCTGTTAAATTTGATTATTTTGTTGACGTTCCGAGTACATTGGTGTGGCTTAGTAATTTCTGACATTTCTGTCATCATATATCTAACGGAAAGCCTCTAAGATACTGAAAACCTCCAGTCTCAGATTAGAAGTCCTCAATGAAGAATGACTCAGCACTGAGTGTGAGGGCCAGTTAGTTTCTGAACAACAAATACTATGCAGAAAAACAAAATAAAATGGAGGTATAGACGTAATACACCACTCCTAAGGTTGTTAACAACCCTGACAGCCCCCAATAGGTTTCGGCCTTCATGGGGCTCATCATGCAGGCGCAGTCTTCGAGTTTCCGTCAGCCTCATGTTCTACTTGAACCCAAATTGTACAGATTTTGAAGAATGCATTTCCATTTGGTTTTGACAAGAGACCCACTTGGAACCCAGCTAAATCTCAAGACTAACCCAAATTTACAGATTTTGAAGAATGCATTTCCATTTGGTTTTGACAAGAGACCCACTTGGAACCCAGCTAAATCTCAAGACTCCTTGAGAACACCAAAAATTGAGATTCAGCTGGGTTTCAGGTGACCTTCCCGTCAAAATCGCATTGATATGAAAATGGGTGTATCAGTAAAATGAAGGTTGTTCAACCCCACAAGTTCAATAATTTGCACGCAACGAGAACTGGCGATAATTGTGCTACTCGGAAGTGAAAAGTTTATTATCACGACCACGTCTGTGCGATAGCGGATAGAATGGTCAAAGAGATCCACAGCCTGAATGGTGCTTTGGTCTGACAAACATATTTTAGGAGTCTACTGAAAACCTAGCAAAGTTCGCAGTTAAAAGAACTCGATATTTCGTGAATAAAATACTTCAGCTATGGTTCAGATTCTCGTGAATTCCCCGGGCAAAACTTTAAATTTTGTTGTTATCAACGCTGGAATATTACTGTTAACTATAGACTATCTAAACCACAAGATAATTCCAAATTTGTCGGAGTTTTCAAATGAATCTGTAACAATAGAAACCTAAGTCATAAGCGCATACCTGGTTGGTTATTTTTCTAATTATATTAGCTTACAATCTCTGACGGAATCACCATCTTGCGCCATTTCGGTCCAGACTGTTCGCGTCATTTAGGTCAATATTTAGTTGTTCGTCAATGTGTACCATAATTTCTCACCGGTATGCATCAAATTGTTTGGTACTTTATTTCTTGAAATCATCTTTGACAAATACTATCCACTGTGTCTACCCGGCAGCCGATCGTTTTGAAATGAAGCCATCTTAGATCATTGAATGTAGCCGATCCGACTAAGCATGAAGGGTACGTACAGCCAACCCAGCGCAATCAAATGCTGAATCTCAACGCGTTTTTTGTGAACCAGAAAACCGTTGCTTACTTGTGTTTTTCTATCACTCAGTTTTTTGTAGAATCCTCTTTCAGTGGGATATAAGGATGGGTAAATAAAGCGTATTGAAGCAATCGATTGAGGTCGCCGTTTTGTTCTAGCCCATCCGCCGTGCAACATTGTAAGAGTAACATTTCACAGATACGTTTGTCGAAACAAAGACCACATCAATGCTTATGCTGGCCTTGTGGTCAAATTCCTATGACGTGCTCTCTGCATTCGTTGATAGACTTTGTGATAGGGACTAATTTTTTGTCTGGGCGACTGTAAAATTTGGTGATATCTTTCAACACATCAGATTGAAAACTTTTCGTTTCTGGGACGATCGTTTGTTCACTTGATTTCGAGGGGCGATTCTAATGTGAATATGAATTTTCCGGCTTTCCTCAGTGCTGACGAACTTGCATCCTCCCGATTGTCGAAAAAACGAAAAAATCGGCTCTGTTACTTCTAAGCTCGTGCTGGCGTTCGGACCTCAGCTCACAAACTTCATTCGTATACTTTTGCCTCGAAATAAGACCAGATGAAGACCGTTCTGATGGTATTTAATTCCTCCGTCTGTGTTTTCACAACTGTGCCGAATGTCCGCAGACGATCTGGGGAGGGCACGACACAGGTGATGATTTGTCTATCACTTAATTCATGGCGCATCTGTTACAGAATGCTCTGTCCAACATGACAACATAGTAGAAGCTGGATACTAGGAAAATTTCAGAGGGCGTGACATCTCGTAGAAGTGCATCTGCCATCTTGCACCACGGGCATCAGAGTCGACACGATTTACTTAATGCTGAAAAGTGTCGTGGAAATTTCAAACATATACTCACGTTTTTCTTCTAACTAGCCGCACCATTCGCAAACTATTCATTTAGTACAATATACTTATAGAGAGATGCAGAGTCTGAATTCCTTGGCGGAGTTCACTTACAACGGATGTGAAAAAGCTGTAAGACCTCAATTATGCTTTTCTGTATCGACAAATAACGTAAAATCAAAAATTCAGTACCCGTAATCTTATTTCATCCATCTGTCTTTATGTATCTGTATTTGGCTGCCAGAACGATTAATTGTTTATAGTTTGTGCTTTAGTCGGTAAATGAAACAAAATCATTAGCTGAGAATGCCGACGAAACAGTCCTGAACTCAGTACCGTCGGTCATAAAAACCCCACTCAATTGATTCACAGCGTATGATGAAATTCCTTTGGATCGTCGCGTAAAACGAACGCGGCAGAAGCACCTTAGCAGTAAAACATACCTGTCAATCCAGTTACCCTTCGCATAAGTATTCTTCAAACTATTCTGTGATTCTGAATACAACGACTATACACTCATTTGTAATTTGTTTTCTCGAGAGACTCACCTGGAACCCAGCTGAATCTCCCGTGTGTGATGTTCACAGGCAACTGAATGTGCTGCGCTGCACCGCCTAATGCTTCAGTCGCTACGTTATTCGAGATATCGCGATACATGTACATCTCTGTAATGTACTACTCATAAGGTTGCTCAAAATCCGTCGACAGCCCACGACCGGTTTCGCCGTTTTTGGGGCTCATCAGGTAGGCGCCTGAAAACATCACAAACGAGAGATTCAGCTGGGTTCGAGGTGAGTCTCTCGAAAAACCAAATTCGTTTGCAAATGAGTGTATATTTGCTAATTTCGTGCAATTTGGTTTCAAGTTAAACATAAGGTTGACGGAAACCCGGGGCCTGCGCCTACCTGATGAGCCCCAAAGAGGGCGAAACCGGTCGTGGGCTGTCGACGGAGTTTCAGCAACCTTATGAATAAAACGACTTCTTGTGCAAAATCAAACAATCAGCTTCATCGGTCTAAATAGCATCTTGCATTGTAGTCGAGAATCGGCTCGAAGCATACAGACGTCCAAACTACTTCAATTTGCTAAAAACTAGTTTCATTTGTATCACTATATCATGCAGTGTATACGGCGGTGTCCAATGAATCAGGGATAGAATCTTGGGCTGAAATGAGTCGGGAAAATCCATATTCATTCATTTAATTATTGCCTAGAACATACACGTTGTTCGGTGAACATTTTCATCGTTCATCTTCCTTGGATATCTCACTTTCCTATTTTGCATTTTCCAGGTATTCGTCTAGCAAGGATATTTCTATGTTCATTGCAACATCTTGGCTATTCCAATTCCAGTTTTCTTCCTTTCGTTGCTGTAGCTTGTCTTTTCGGTTCAACTCAATGTCTATCCACCATTCTGCGGGTTACCGAAAGATCGCCTAAATACAGCGCTTGGATTCCATCTTTCGATTTGTTTATTCTTCCTGCAAAGGAACGATGGGATTTGAGCTAGTCTAGCTGTCTTGGTCGTCGTCAGCGAGATTCCACGGAACGAATAACACCAAAGCAACCACATCGCTACATTTGGCGCAGTTGATTGGCTAATGAATGTATCAACACAATCATGAGTTTCTCCCACAATATATTCCAGGAATTTTCTCCTTTGTTCTTGCTACCGTAACTTGTAGAATCTTGTGTGCATGTACCAGACTGTTCCATAGTGCCAAACGATTGCAAAATTAACTTCCCACAATGGTCAATTGCTAGCTAATGTGATCTCAGAACTGCCGTCTGGCACTGTGCAAATGAACGTGTCTAATTCCCCTAGACTTCAGCTACTGTCATCATGTACGCTCACACTCATTAAAAATTGATGTGCGTTCGATTTATCTGATTGGCGTTGACATGTTATGGGATTCTTAAGTTTGCTCGACTTGGAGTGCATTATCGACATCAGAAGGATTCTCGATGTAGATAGACGGTGAATGTACATCACTAGTAGTGAACCGTACGGACAGTAACTCCAGGCGTTGGTCTTATCAGGATGCATTTTGAGGTCCCCTGAACCTCCACAATAGTGGATACTCAGGGACGAAATGGATAAGCAACAAGAAACCGCGCAGTTTCCCTGTCTCCAACATTCAGTATGCACTCATTATGTAAGACAACACGAAGTGAAAGTTGTTTACGAAGGAAAAAACACATATATTATGTAGTTGTGGTCATTTTGATTAAGTACATTACTGCTTGTGCGAAAAATCGCGGGCCGAGTGGATTGCTCTATTGTGCATGCTTTGGTTCGTTCTGATGGATTTTGGGAGAATACGAGCAAAAGCGATTTTATGATTATGAGGAAAACACGAACATGCACCGCAGTTTTACTCAATATAATCTCAACTGCCCTGAGTGGCAGTACCAGCATGCTGTGAACTCAAACTCCTTCACAGTAGAACAACCACTAGCTGCTTGTATCGTGTGAACCATTTTGCAGCTCATGTTCTGCTAGTGCAGTAACTGCGATATGGTTGGACTTCTGTGTATATAACCGTGTTTCCTTATTCTAAAACTTATCCATTTCATTCTGCAATAGATGTGTCACGACATTTCTTTTTAAAATGCGTGAAAATTTTTGTCCATATCGTATAGAGGACAAACCTGCAGGTCCAGATTCCTTTGTGTCTCCTATGAGCGGTCTATTACCTTTGGACTATTTTGTGACATGACTGTATAAAAACCGTTGAGTAGTTTTCGAAAATTTGAGAAGTACTGCGTAATGTTCTGTTTGAGAATTAACTATGTATATAGGGGGACAAGCAGTTTCATTCTTACCATTTTACTGTGAAGTTTCGGCTTCACATATTCACGTACTTTGAGATGCCTGGTGTTCCAAACTGGAGGTGCGTAAGTGTCAGTGATCATTGTAGAAGCAATTCTTCTAGTTGTCTCTGTGTCATGTTCATACTCTCTGAAGGTCGGAACATACATAACCAAGACCACCGATGTTGTTTTAGAAGCTAAGTAATTCTAATCTTAGAAGACCTGTTGATCATGATTGTGACCCCAGAATATCAAAAACACTGAGGAGTGCACACTGATTGGCTCGTAAATCGTGCTGTCATATTACCACTGTTCTTTGTGTATGCTCTAATACTGAAGGTGAAAGGTCGAGTTAGAAGATCCGGATGCGGTGACCACGGTCACTTGGTTTTGAGGCAGGGATTTATCGAAGCAAACTGCACATGTGGTAAGAGAGATCAGCAGCAAAATTTCGGAGAGATCACCAACCATGGTGCCTTATGGGGCCAGTAGAACTTAAGTAGAATCAATTAAACAAGCATATTTCCGTCGAATTCTTCAGAAAATCTGAGAACATCTCGTGCACCCAAGAGCTTCATCAACTTGTAAATATTGGTGCACACAGATAGCTTATATTCTGAAATATATGCAGCCATGAGTGACAATTGTGTGGGAATTTGCAATAATGGTTCAAATGACCGAACTGACCAGTGGCAGTCACACGAATCTTGAAAGTGCAACTTATTTGACTGTCCAACTCTGGAGAAAAATCATTCATAGGTTTCTTGTCCCTCATATTTGACTTCCTGAGCAATCTCCAGATAAAACTCCTCAGATATTTGTTTTTCTGGAACCATTTGTAGAGGCTTTTTTCTCTGATCTTGGATTTTGTTGTGCTTCAGCGTATCTCGATCCGCTTGAAAGTGTCCGAATGCAGCTTCAATTACTGTGGTAGCTGGAGGCTTGATCTGTATGCGTCGCCTTTCTGTATACCTCAATTCGTAACTGTCCGTTCAGCAGTCTAGTGATGAGGACGTCCAAAAATGCTAGTTTTCTGTCGCTTTCTTCTATTTTGAATTTGATGTCATCGAAAACTTTCTGTATAATTCGTAACTGTCCGTTCAGCAGTCTAGTGATGAGGACGTCCAAAAATGCTAGTTTTCTGTCGCTTTCTTCTATTTTGATTTGAATGTCATCGAAAACGTTGTTTAGCAGTCGGCTTGCTCGTTGCGGTTCGCTCCGTTTGATGACCATATAAGTGTCGTTCACGTAACGGGTCCATATTTTGGGATTCATATGGGGCAACACAATTTGTTCACATCTCTGCACTGCGATTTCTTCAATAAATCCTTAAAGTGGTTACCCCATGGGTGTCCCTCCTAGTTGTTCATAATATCCTCCGTTGAACACGACATGTGGGATCAGGCCTAAGTAGAGTAATCCTTAGAGATCTTTCTCCAGGGATCCGGTTGGCATGCCACCGTTGTTCAATAATTCACTTCACTTTTTAATCCACCCACACAGTACACACGAGTCATTTGTTGAATTTTCTCACTCACTTAACAGTTACGTGATAACCTTTGTTATTTTGCACTCGGTTTCTGTTTTGCACCCAGTCTCAATCATGATACTAATGAATACAGACTGCTTTCTGCAGCCACCGATGGACCACAACAGATGTGAGCGAATGGATGTCCGTTGAACGTAAGCCGCCACACCTGCAGGGCCTGGTGGCACTTTAAATGCACGGGTTTACAGGACGATCAGGCAAGCCATCTAGTTAACTCTCCTGACCCGTTTGTCTGCGCCAGCTGCCTCTACAACGCACACCGCAACTAAGAACAGAGCCAACAAAAACTTAACCAAATTCCCATTGCTGAATCAGAGAGACCAGTGTGAGTGTTCAACTTTAATCGGGATACTGGACGCGAAACTGTAGCTTCTCTATAGAGCGCTGGAGGATACAAACACAAAGGACACAGTGACCTGGACAAAATATGTTAAAGAACTTTCTTTGCCGAACGAGTACCTCACGCTATCCATCCAAAGTCCACTGACATCGAGAAAGTTCATCCAGTTCTCGGACGCGGCAATAAAGGCGGCCACGGCGTCTCAATTGGACAATCGCGTAAGTGAGATCAGACCGATCTTCTGGGAGTCATTCTGCAGAAGAATCACGCCAACAAAGCTGGTACAGTCGCTCCTTGGTAGCGTCGTCACAAAGCCTGTCCACGGGTCGCTTCAGGCAGAATGGTTACGTTAGAAGGGAAGAAGGGAAAAGAAAGGAGTTTTTGTCATCATTTCCTCCCCATCTGCTGTAGAGAAGATCTTGGAACGGGCTGTCAGAAAACCTGCAAATGAAAAAGCATAATCCGAAACCAACAAGAAAGGAGCAGACGAGTATGCCTGGGGAGCCATTTCGGAGTCATATAACCGAACCCGATGTACCACTATTAAGTCCCCTAACCTCTCTGGTTACACAGATCTCGGTTTTTCATCCTTAGAGGCAGCAGAGACAGTGCTTAAATGCTTACCTAAGCCAAGGACGAGTGACTCATATCGAGGGCCATACTTTTCGGCTTCTCAAAAGCCTTTGGTCTGGCCTCACACGCCCCATTCTGCGATTTCTTCAATAAATCCTTAAAGTGGTTACCCCATGGGTGTCCCTCCTAGTTGTTCATAATATCCTCCGTTGAACACGACATGTGGGATCAGGCCTAAGTAGAGTAATCCTTAGAGATCTTTCTCCAGGGATCCGGTTGGCATGCCACCGTTGTTCAATAATTCACTTCACTTTTTAATCCACCCACACAGTACACACGAGTCATTTGTTGAATTTTCTCACTCACTTAACAGTTACGTGATAACCTTTGTTATTTTGCACTCGGTTTCTGTTTTGCACCCAGTCTCAATCATGATACTAATGAATACAGACTGCTTTCTGCAGCCACCGATGGACCACAACAGATGTGAGCGAATGGATGTCCGTTGAACGTAAGCCGCCACACCTGCAGGGCCTGGTGGCACTTTAAATGCACGGGTTTACAGGACGATCAGGCAAGCCATCTAGTTAACTCTCCTGACCCGTTTGTCTGCGCCAGCTGCCTCTACAACGCACACCGCAACTAAGAACAGAGCCAACAAAAACTTAACCAAATTCCCATTGCTGAATCAGAGAGACCAGTGTGAGTGTTCAACTTTAATCGGGATACTGGACGCGAAACTGTAGCTTCTCTATAGAGCGCTGGAGGATACAAACACAAAGGACACAGTGACCTGGACAAAATATGTTAAAGAACTTTCTTTGCCGAACGAGTACCTCACGCTATCCATCCAAAGTCCACTGACATCGAGAAAGTTCATCCAGTTCTCGGACGCGGCAATAAAGGCGGCCACGGCGTCTCAATTGGACAATCGCGTAAGTGAGATCAGACCGATCTTCTGGGAGTCATTCTGCAGAAGAATCACGCCAACAAAGCTGGTACAGTCGCTCCTTGGTAGCGTCGTCACAAAGCCTGTCCACGGGTCGCTTCAGGCAGAATGGTTACGTTAGAAGGGAAGAAGGGAAAAGAAAGGAGTTTTTGTCATCATTTCCTCCCCATCTGCTGTAGAGAAGATCTTGGAACGGGCTGTCAGAAAACCTGCAAATGAAAAAGCATAATCCGAAACCAACAAGAAAGGAGCAGACGAGTATGCCTCGGGAGCCATTTCGGAGTC